GCCCGAAGACCTCCCCCCCGTCCTTGAACAGTGCAGTGATCCCCTTGTCTCGATTCCCCACATTTCAGAGCAACTAAGTGTTAGGCAGGAATCCACGCGGATCCCACTATACGGCACGTCTTTAGGCTCTGCTACGGCCGAGAAGCCTGGCCCGCTCGAGGTTGACCCAGAATTCGGGACGCTTGCCGGTCCGGCATCAAGGCGAGATCTGATTGGTCAACAATCTGGACCCAACAGCCAATCATGACCCAATAATGACCAAATGCCGGTTGCCAATGGCGCATCCAGAACGCGTCAGAGATTCCAGAAAGTTATAACCGCTTACGCTGTATATACGAAGCGCTGTACAACTGTTCTTGATTTCGTTTTGGGAGTTAATAAACCTCGTGCACCTTTGGTGGTTGTTTTGAAGTGAACGCTAGCTTGGGAGGCTCAGACCGAGAACTAAGTTGAGGAAAATACCGTTACTACACTAAGCAATGAAAACATCAGAATTAGTTACCCAGGATCTGCGAACAGATCAACAACCAATATTTTTCACATTTCCTGCCCATAAACCACTGCAGTAGCTAATGACTAATATGTATACATGTATATTATGTAATTGAGGTTGGGTTGTACTTTTTACGAGTACAACATAACATGCGAAGAACGGTTTTGGGCGATGGCCGAATCTACTTAGAATGCGATAGGATGACTTAAGTTAAGCTGTGTGATTCATCTCCCCTGTTTGATAAAGCATGCTCCGACAAGAACAGTAGGACCGAGATGACTCAGTGTTTGGAGTGCGAATTCACTGAACGGAAGGTCCGTGGTTCAAACCGGCCTCTGCATCTCGACTTCCCCTGGGAAGTCTGGCAGTATCCCAGCCCTCGTGCTTCCTTCTGGTGCTATGGCAGTTGGGCACCAAAAGGGTGCTACAGATGAACGATTTTTTTAATATACCAATGAAAAGTCGATAATTTGGAGACGAAGCATGTAAAGCTCGACAACGAATAACCGGTTCACGTTGATTGAGACTAGTATTCACAGACACCCAATAACACGGGGTGGCAGGCAACTACTGGCGGTGTTTTATGTTTACACTACTTCCTCACTGTTTATTACTGCTATCCAACGACGCCAGCCGAAAGTTCTGGATGAACCTAACTGTGTCATGTAACGGGTGAGCAAGCGTGATAGGCCCAATGCGGCCCAAACACATCATACTTCCTGAGCGTGTGACGAGTTGTTTTCGAAAACCATTTCCAGCTTCCATTGTTACCACGTAATGTTCTTGACAAAGGACGAAAGCAGGGATAGATACTCACGGAAATTAGACCTCCGTGGATGAAAGCATACAGCCGTAACATCCTTACGGTGCGCAGCTGCTATGCCACCCAAAGGGAAAACGAGGGATGAGGTACCGCCAGGTTATCCATTGCAGACACTACTGGCGGTGTTTTATGTTTACACTACTTCCTCACTGTTTATTACTGCTATCCAACGACGCCAGCCGAAAGTTCTGGATGAACCTAACTGTGTCATGTAACGGGTGAGCAAGCGTGATAGGCCCAATGCGGCCCAAACACATCATACTTCCTGAGCGTGTGACGAGTTGTTTTCGAAAACCATTTCCAGCTTCCATTGTTACCACGTAATGTTCTTGACAAAGGACGAAAGCAGGGATAGATACTCACGGAAATTAGACCTCCGTGGATGAAAGCATACAGCCGTAACATCCTTACAGTGCGCAGCTGCTATGCCACCCAAAGGGAAAACGAGGGCTGAGGTACCGCCAGGTTATCCAATTGCAGACACGAGTGGTCGAGATACCGGGATTAAATTCGAACCAGACTTTCCGGACAATAAGTTCCTACCTCAGCCACGGAGCTAGCTGGAGCTCCATAACAGTAAATCCTATATTTTGTCCATGCAACTGAGCATACCTCGCAAGACTGGGATGACGAGAAACTACTAGAAGACGTCAACATTCGGAGGTAGCTGGATTCTTATATGATCCGCCGTCTCAAGTCCATGAGGTGGTCTGACGGTATTGACTTAAGAAGGCGACACGCCATAAGAAGGATTTCTTGTGCCCATATGATGTGTGTGTGATAAAAAAGACCTCAAAAATCTACACAGGAGTGGCCGAAAGGACAGGGGTCGTGAAATCCAGGAAGTCCCGATGAAAGGGGGGCGAGATGGCCCAAGTGGTTAGAGCGCAAATTTACCGACCGGAAGGTCCGTGGTTCGAATCCGACCTCCGCCACTCGACTTCCCCTGTCTAGGCTTGGGGAACCTGGCAGTATCCCAGCCCTCGTGCTTCCTTCGGATGGCATGGCAGCTAGGCACCAGAAGGGGGCTACAGCTGAACGCCTGGCAGCTTGTAACCATCTGTAGTTCACGAACGGGAAACGAACGGACGCAACCCTGTTGCTGAGCCGGTCTGCTAACTTAATCGAAACCACAAAGCAGATGCATAGGTGGGCAAAAACCGAGAGTTTATATGGACTGATTTTCCTAACAGCAGGGGAGGACTAACTTCAAATAAGCATTGAAAACTGTACCATTTGTCGAGATCTTTTACACTCCACAGTGTGGCAAATGTGAGATGCGCTCTGTTTATTTCGCTGCCTAATTCATCAGCAACATGGAACCAGGAGGGTGCGGCGTTCTCAAATGATGTGATGTTCGGTTATTAGAGACGGCTGGCCTCCGGACAGTTTCATGAACTGGAAGATTTTTTACTGCCAATTGCTCCAAAGCAGTTGACCCTCAGCGGCTGTACCTGACAGCTTATCTGCTTTGTGACTGACAAACACATCCTTAATACTGATGATTACAGCACAGGAGCTGCATATAAAGGTAATCGCGATTTGTTGGTGGGCGGATGTTTTCGTCAGCACCTATACATTCGGTCGCTTCTATTGATACTGCGTAGACTAACATGATTAAAGCTTAACTAAGGATGAAGCTTCGCCAAACTTGGCAAGGCGAGGGATAAATCAGGATGTTCAACTACGCAATGTATTCGCAAGGTCCTCAACACAAGCGAAAACGATATCTGCAATAAAAGTTTCGCCGGGACAAGCAACAGAGAGCAGAGGCATCTCCTCCCCAACTGCTGGAAAGTAGTGGCCGTATGGTCGGTTGGTGTCTGGGAAATACATTCAACCTGATCGTCTTCTGCTCTCTTCTGAATGCGCCTAGGAGTCCTGATATTCACGTGTTCAGCTGTTCAGCTGTAGCATCCTTTCGGTGCCGAACTGCCATGCGACCCGAAAGTTGCACGAGGGCTAGGATACTGCCAAGTCGCCCAAGCATAGACAGGGGAAGTCGAGTGGCAGAGGTCGGGTTCGAACCACGGACCTTCCGGTCAGTAAATTTGCGCTCGAACCACTTGGGCCATCTCGCCCCTTTATTCACATGGCCCCGACTAAGATGGTCTTCTCCCAAAAGGAGGGCGGAAGTAGTTGGCAGATCGCTAGCTGCCTGTCCATGGTCACGCGTTCCGTATGCCAGCCGACCAACTTCCTCGAAGAGACCTTTTCGTACAACCACGCGAAGGTCGGAAACGAGCCTAATAAGGTCGAACAATGACTTGGCGGAGAAATACGAAAGCCATTAACAGTAAACTCAGCTGCGCTGGCCATTACTGTCTCCGAAACGGGACACATCAAGGGTTAAAGATACTGTCAGTTATGGTCCAGTCATACGCTTAATGGCGCACATGCATTCAAACTATGGCCTTCACTGCATAGCTCCCCTCTCAAAACCCCAAGTGGAAAGTTCACTGACGCCCGTGTATTTACGCACCAATTACATCAGCTACCATCTCCAATGCGCACCTAACTACCCACCCACCCAAACCATCGGCGAACGAAACTGAGGTGGCAAGAACACGGTTTTTACAGTTGATTATAAATATTCCAGTCTCTGGGGATGAATGCTCTGCTCTTCTGGAGAAATGGGGATAGCAGTCTATCTATAGTAAAGCACGGGTTCCAGTGAAATGCGGATCTATTCTAGGCAAAGGGCTGAGTTGGTGTCCAGAATTCCAGAGGCTGCAGCCATCCTCCAGAAGTTGGGCGTGATGGAATAGTGCCATTCTCCGTGTTCAATTCAGAGTGGTGAGGACGCAGAGACACGCAAAATGTGGCTGTTGTTGTTGTGAAAAGCAAAGGTCTTGTCCGGCTGCAAGAACGGAGCCAACATTACATACACTGTGCTCACAGAAGGACGCTGGAGGATGCGGCCACTAATTGATGCCACCGACATTCGTGTTCTCAGTTTATATCCAGATGCGTGTTAGGCTGTGGTCTGTGATAGGCTAACGCTGGGTTCATGCAGGGGCTGGGATAGATATACCACTTGGAAATACACTTAGGCTACCTCAAGACAGATATCAATGTACGGACATTCCGCCTTCGAGCCATAGGATAGGAAGCAGTTGAACTGCCCCATTTATCTGAAATCAATGACAGAAATATTCCTACGTCCCAGGGTATCCAGAACTTCCGTATCATTGAGATCATACACTCTGGAGGTCAGAAACAAGTGTATGGTCATCATCATCATTGACAGCAACACCAGAGGAGAACGCTCCCGTACAGCCAGTCAGTTGGGCTGAAAATCGCCGGCCGACGTGCATATCAGACCGAAGACAAATCCCAAACTGCCTACTATCCAAGCGGTGGACGGGTTCTGTATGAAGCCCAGTCGTCAATGGATTGTGAAGAAGTAGGTCAAAGCATACCTTATTCCAATTTATTTGAATGCCACAATGTCTCCTCTCTAGGTTTGAGCAACCTGAGAGCATCGTAACCTTCGTAATTCCCTCGGGCGGTACGACAGCTGTGCACGGAAAGGGTGCTACACATGAATGATTATTATATTTTATATACACAGTGAAGAAGTTACCAAAGTTTGTCCTAGAAAAATGTACTGGGAGACTGTTAACGAGGTCCTCCACAAAAACAGGTATTTATCCTTTCACCAGGCGTCTCCGATTGGGGGTCGTTACTGATGGATTAAAAGAGATGGAGTGTCAAGACTGTGACCGGTGGACACGCTTCGTGTTGTTCGACTGATGAAGAAATGTACATCGTTGAGACTGGTGTACATTGAAGATGTGAATTTTGCGCATGATGGTTGTCTGACGAACACGAATCTTATTCAAACACTGCTGGGTACACCTGAACATAACCCCTCCACGATTGATAAAACAGGAGAACTACAAAGGCGCAATAAAGTTAACCGGGTCTTATCATTTTTGGGGGCTCCAGAGCGACGATCATATGCCCACCGGAGAAACACTTAGCGTCCAACAGTGAAACTACAGATGAGATCCAGTTATACCACTACGGCCCTCGAACTTATTGGCAGGAATTACGCGTCACATTCCGACATTTGCAGAAACGGTGAAAAACAGTGACTATTTGAAATCATGGGAGTACGATGAATCCAATCCGACTGCGAATTGGATTCCGTGGATCCGTTAGCCCAAACCAAAGTCGATGGTGGCCAATGGTCTATAGGAATTCAAAAACTAAGGAAAACCTAGTGAAGGAGGACGCGAAAGACCCACGAGAAACCAGTCTGATTTTCGCCGACGTTTCAGAGATCCTTACCGGCAGGATGAAGTGGTACGGAGATTTTCGTGAATCCTGTATCCCCAGACTTTCTTTCCTGGAGGACGAGGATTACGATTTTTATCGGCATTTTATCTAGCCGTGTAAATAGCTGGCACTTGAGATTGTTTTGGAGCCGACTGGAGAGTGTACTACAGACCCTGCCCAAATCGATCGAGTGCAGGATAAGTCTTACCGAATTTTGTGCAATCTAAATCCAGAGCAAGATAAAGTGATAGCGACGATTGAGAAATTAAAGGGCTGGCCAAATGGACTACAGAAAACGGATTTCCGGGTTGTGAGAACGCCCCTGAGAATCAGGTGAGAGTAAGCGGCTCTTCAACCATTTGTGTAGCAAAAGTGGGACTCAATTGTTGTTAACTCGGAGTAGTCAAGAATAAGTTTGGAAGAGCAAGGGTAACGCCAAATGACTAAGATCCTGATATTGTAGCCTTTTCAATTTTCGTTCAGCTGCAGCACTTTTTCGGTGCACAACTGCCTGAAAGAAGCACGAGAGCTGGGATACTGCCAGGTTGCCCAATCCTAGAAAGGGTAAGTCGAGTCAGAGGCAGGGTTTGAACCTCGGACCTTCCGGTCAGTAATTTCGCACTCTGGCAGCTGAGCCATCTCGCTCCAATATAGCTTCCTCAGAGACCTGGCCCACATTAAGCCACCATAATAATAGCTGAGCCACTCAGGCATATGATGTGCTCTGACGGCATCGGAAGACCAACTGCATAGGTGGTAGGATCTTACTGTTCTGCTGAATTAAGCGCTTCTATTGACACCTTTGAGCCCTGGCGGAGAGAAGTGCCTGAGTTGCCGCGTCAGTATAAGTGGGCGACCCATTGATATTGACGTAGTGTGCCGTAGCCTCCCACGTTCGCTGCACAGAATATGACATGAACAAGGACTGAGCAGTTTGGGTATTATCCTCGCCCCATTAAACTAGAGCTAAAGGATGTGACGTACTATAAACTCTTGGCTCAGTAGCCACACACTCGTAACGTTTGCACTAATGAACACATCCCTTTCCCTTGGCTCTTTGAAGTCTAGAGTAAACGCGTGGAGGGCGAGCGCTGACAATATACCACGGCAGCAGAGAACGATACCTGCCTGAAGTAAACGTCATTCCTATCATCAGAGGCAGCGACCTCAGTTTTGAAACTGATGCTTCACTGACGTATAACCACAGCGTAATTAATTACATTTAAAGTGAAAAAAATGGATAGAGAGGAACCAAGTGGTGACCAATCACAAGCACTCGATGGAGCGTACACGAACATGAGCTCAATTAGTCAACCTGGAAAGAAACTGAAATCAAGATACTACTGACATCGATCGGCCAACATTTCTTGCAATGGCCCCAGACAAGCTAAGGGGGAGCCGCGGGAACCCTATCCTGAAAGGTGGGCCGAACCAACAACACAACTCTGCGTAATCTCTATCAAACTCTTGTGTCAGGGTACAAGTTTTCCACCTCGCGATCTGTGCCATTCTGAAGGAAGCACGGGGAACAATACTCGTCTCGGTAGACGGTGTTTGGGCATGTGTAGTATACGGCCGGAACAATACTCGTCTCGGTAGACAGTGTTTGGGCATGTGTAGTATACGGCCAATGGAGCGTGCGTGGTGGTTACTATCCTCTGGCAGACTCCAATGCCTCCTGGATCGTATCGTATTAACTAGCAATCGGATATATCTTCGGCACTGCCCTCGATGGCTGGACAGAGCTTTGCGTGCTAATGAGGAAACGTAGAAGCCTCTGTGGTTGATTCAATAATAGTCCCTACTCGGCTGATCATGACATACTGCATGTCTGAATGTTCGTACTACCCCGGAGCGGCAATAATGTTGACACACCCAACACTCCAACCCTTCTGAGAAGTCCACCATTGGCTCCGAAAAAAAGCCATGCGACTACGTTAGACGTAAAAGAATGGCATTCAAAGTCCCCAACTACAGGATAGACTGCGTAGCCCCGACCTAAAGCTGCCACCTTGACGTGGTGGTCGGGCTTGAGTGCTGCAGCGATCCCGCGGGCTACACGGGCTGGAACTTCGTTCCACAAGGTGCAACCATGCCAGGAAGGCCAAAGGGGAGCAGCCAGACCCCGTACTACGAGTAACCGTGCTACGAGGCGGTCTGGGGGTAAAGTCGTACTGTCCTCTG